TGCATATATATTTTTCGATTTATGCGTCTGTCTATAGATCTATACACACACTCTCTCTCTCTCTCATTATTGGTACGGTTGAGACATTTTTCTATATTGAAACTGATATTGTTTTATCAATCTACCATTGAAGTCTTTGTGGAAATATGAAATGACCAGCATATAATATGTAATTATTCAAAAGAATTTTTAACAAGAATAGATATGGGTTACCCCATATCCAAAGATATTCGACTGTTAGATTTAATATGTTTAACAGTGTTTATAATGACGTTAATAAAAAAAAAACTGCACTGTCTAATTATGGAACTGTTGTAAATATCGTGATTCCATAGCATTACGGTCACCTAGTCTCCTAACAAACAGTACACATAGGCCTACATGTACCTGTAGCCTTGGTCTACACACGTGCAATGGAGCTGTCACACGCATCCAGCGAGCTCGGAGAAACACGTTTTGTTTTGCCGAGAAGTTACGGTGTCAGACAAAACTTTTCTTTTCTTAATTAGATCATATAAATACGAATTCTGATTAATAAAAATTATACAATCCCTGTTGAACTTTATATAGTTTGTTCTAACATTTGCATCTGCAACAACTTGTGTTTAAAATGGCCGGGTTGGGAAAATCAGGACCGGGTCGGAAAATTCTAAACTGAAAACATGGAAAACCTTTTTTGTTTTGAAAATAACTGAAATATACTAATATATTTGTCGCAGAAATTACTTACATTATTCAAGTTCTATATATAATGGTATGCTGAACTTCAACACGAACCCGAATCTCCAACCCATGCAGTTCTCGTTTTGCCACACATACCCTTCAGTTTACAAAGTGTACACACGAGCAGGCCAGGGATTGAAAATTCCGTCATTTAATAATACACACACAGAATGATTAATTTTTTCTTTAAGAACAAATTGTATGATAATTAACGGACTATAAACATGTACTTAATACAATTGTTGATATAGTATTATCAATTCATTGGTGAAAAGATATGAATCGAAGAATGACCTAATTATTCTCTGTTATCAAACACGTAAAAAAAAAAAAGGCTGAGGAGGGAGCGAGCGTAGGAATATTGATATTTTTTATTTGCATTTCGGGGGGAAAGTGACTTTCTAATGATATTTTGACGTTATTTTTGATTTCTTTAACGTATGACATACACAACTTTACTCTTATCATGAACAATAATGTTGTATCTACTTATCATGATGGAATTATTTTGGTCGGACCAATATGTGTGAGCTGCCGCTGAATACAGTTATATATCTTGCAAAGATAGTATGCATTGATCGAATATATAGAAAATGTGATATAAAAACTAGGTCTGAATGAAGCAGTCAATTTTTATTGCAAATGGATGTAATCTGGTAGTTTATTTTCAGTGCCCGCCCCCTTTTCCTCAAACCATTATTCGCTCCTTATACGGGTCTGTTCACTTTATTTAAATTTAATTTTTACATTTAATTAACTTGATGATGAAGAAAGTTTTAATGGTTATTTTTATGTAATTAAAGGTCTTTATTTCAATAGAAGATTTTTTATAATACCTGTAAACGAATCGATCTTTGTACACTGTATGTGTAACTTAAAAAACAGGCTTCAAATTTTAGAGGTTTTAGCGCGAACAACGATGCACTAGAAAATTTGTAGACTGGCCTGCCTGTCTGATATTCGATATACATATATATTTTCCTGCGTACGGTAAAGACAGGCAATACCAGTCTAGAAAATTTGATAAAATTATGTGTTAATTAACTTGCTTGTCTGGATAAATATTTTTATATTAAAAAATATCGACTGATAGGGCATGACAGTATCTGCACCTTATTGATAAGACTGACATTATAATCATAATATTCTTTTTGCGTTACATTGATTTCACGAATTAGTCTTTCAACGACTTGTCATATAGATATTTTTTATCACAAACCGGAAGTCACGATTTTACCAGATGATCATGACATCGGTGCAGAACTTGCGAAATTTTCCAGTTGATTTTTTTAATCCTTAGAATTTTTTAAAAACCAACTTTGAGCCATAACGCGTATTTATGACCAACCATTTAAAAGTGTAAAACAGGGAAAATAGTCTGAGCAGTTTAAAACTGTATCATAACATTGAAATTTTGAAATCGAAAGTAGGGATTTACAGACAGCACTTGGTTAGTATCTTGTTTATAATCATTATATGAATATACATTATATGAATATATACCTTTACATACAGTGTATATACCACTCAGCAAACCCAGGTATGTTGGCCTTGCAGAATTTCTTTTAGTTTACACAAAAAGGAAATGCATGATGATTATGCAAATTAGGCCAAACAAAAAAATAACTTTGTTTACTGTTACATGCTGAAATAAAATAGGGTCGGTAGGTAGGAATTTTTTTTTAATTTTATTGAATATTTTTATACACAAATTCACATGAATTCGTTGAATTAAAAAAACAGTTTTACCATTGTATGGTGCCTTACTTTTGTTTGGGCTTGTAATATGGGTGGTATACAATATTATTATCTTTCTTGCCAACTGCCTTATAACTCAGGGGTGTGCAATTGAAATAAAAATCAAGTACTAACCCACAGGTTTGTAACAGCAATAAAGTTACTAGTCCGCATTAAAAAGTGACCAGTCCAAATATAGGGGCAACAAAAAATTGTAAAAACTAGTATTTTAAAAAGTTCATTGTTGAGAAAGCCAGGCAAGGTCCTAAGCCATTCCTTTTAAAGTTGAAGTTAAAAAATTTTAAGAAATTATCTTTTCTTTTCTGAACATATTGCACTAGTCAAGCTTATCTAAAATGAAGCAAAAATCATTTTATTTTCATTTCAAACCATTAAGTATTATTGATATATATTAAAGTTTAATCACATAACACTTAGCTATCAGTTGATTGGGGGATCGTATATAATTGAATGAGATATCTGCATATATTTACCATTAACAGAGGAATGGAGGAAATTCGGGTTAGGAAAAACGATCGTTTTTTAAGTAAATAAGTCAGGTAGTACTGCAAAATGGATGAGATTACAGTGATTTCAGAACAGTAGGAGCATGTTGCCTGGAAAATTTTCATTAGTTGGATATTAAATAGCAAAACAATGAGTGAAAATACCGTTTTGTTTCTCATGTATTTATAATCATACATGCATAATTTTAATTTTATTTTTGCTACCCCCCAAAAACGGTAGCACCGGGCGTTGGGCGATGCTAGTTGCACACCCTTGCAACTGCCACGCAATGGTAAGCAAATTGCAACGAACTTGTTGATGTAGAAATTGAACTCACTAGTTTTGTTTCTGTACTTTCAATTTCGATTTAGATGAATGTTAAAGTTAAACTGACCGGCCAGTAACTTCCAGATTTTTATGACGAAAAAAAAAGTTTGGGTCGGCGATTAAAATTAGGGTCGGTCGGGTAACCGTAAACAAACATATTTTTTTGTTACGCCTTAACATTTATTTTGATGAAATTTAAAAACTAAGACAAAGGGGTTCTTAGCATGTTTGTCTGTATTTAGATAGTTAAAATAATCTAACTGTGTCTCGGGGCAAGCCCTCACCACAGTTAGAATACCTCCCATATACTTGCTATGTAGCAAAAAATTGCAGAATCATTCCAAAACGAATTTGAAGTGTACAAAAGCATTTGCATTGGAAATAACTTCAAAATTAATTACAACAAACCTTTTTGAGGTTGTGTATGCCTTTAATCCTAAATTATAATCCAAATAAAGACCATCATTCAATTAATTTTCTCAGTGTTTTTTCTTGCTTCAAATTTACACACCATTTTTGCATTCAGAACTCTCAGGAATCTTCGTAGTAAATGCAATGAGTTTGAGTTATCGCCCGTGTTTATTTTGCTACACAGTGAATACACGGAACGAATTCTTATCATTAAACCCGGTCCGTAGGACATTTATCATTTTAACAATAGAACATTCTATCTAATATTTAGATTAACTAGAGGTACTGTGAGCAATGAGCTCACTAAATGATACCCCCCGCCTCCCATAATGTCGATGTGTTGCTTTATATTGTTTTACGGTAATGTGTAAAGAGGAATAACTCGTCCTATGAAATGTTATCCAGAAGCTTCGATTATGTGACGTCATAGGTAAACAAAAATGGCAATGTCCATGTTTTGCTCTGGAAAACCTAAAATACGTGTCGAATAAAAAAGTAAAATAGGAGGTGCACAATGGCAATATGTAATAAAGATTCTGTGAAAGTTTCATTAAATTTCACTCAGTAGTATAAGAGGAGTTGCGGATAAGAGAAAAAGCGTAACAGACGGACGGACGGACGTACAGACGGACGGACGGACGGACGGACAGACGGACGGACGGACGGAAATCCCGATCACTATATACCCTCCCGCTTTTCAAGCGGGGGGTATAAATATGTCCAGGCTCAGGTGTTCAGTACAATTCGAATGTATACCATATAGATTAGATAGAACATCTCTGTCATTAAAATGATATTGTCCTTCGATCAGACTCGGTTTTACTATTATAGAATTTGTTCTGTGCAACACTTTTTGTATTCTTCAAAATCATTTCGGAGCGGATCCACTTCGATTTGCTACATTGCAAGTATATTAGACATATTCTAACTGTGGTGAGGGCTTGTCCTGAGACACTGTTGGATTATTCTAACTACAAATAGATGCAGTGTGATAAAAGTACAGTCTGCTTCTGCACAATTTTGAAAACAACTACCTAATAGTGTCATTTTACCTGAGTGGGAGGCATTGTAGGCATTGCAAAAACTTGAGAGTTAGCATGAAATTGTTTTTTTTTCACATATTAGTGAGATAAGTAGATAACATTGTTGAAGCTGCATACTTGGAATGACATCAGTTCATAAGGGGTTGATAATAATTGAGAGCCCCACACTATTGTTTTCAATTTCCCAAGAAAGATCAATATCCAATATTACTTGATACAGTTATATTGTGACCTAAACGTTACACGACTGTTATATCAATTTACAGTTAAATGGATCAGAGAAATATGAACTAAAATGTCTGGAAATGTTGAAGAACAGATTGCCAAAGATCCAGACACAAAAGAAAAACCCCAGGAGGGAAAGAAAAAGAGAAAATCAGGCTCAAAAGAACAGTTAACATTTCCACCATGCAAAGTTTGCTCAGGAAAGGCAACAGGGCTTCATTATGGGGTCTACACTTGTGAGCCTTGCAAGGTATTTTGTTAATGATTTTCTTAAAGCATTTATCTATTTATGAATTTATTTATGAAAAAACACTTCAAAATTTAAATCAGTCTGGGAGTGATCTATTCTTAAATATGAGTTGCAAATATTTCAAACCGATTTTTTTTTATTATTAAGAACATGTTCCAAATAATCATGTTTGTGTCATACTTGTGACCATCAGTCCTCCTTTAAAAAATTGGGCTAGAGAAAAGTTAATAAAATTAAATTAAGAGATATTCCTTTACACTGTAATACAGGCATTTCATCAATTAGTCATAAAAAATGGGAAAAATCAAATGGTATATTAATTTTTGTTTTTTGGTTTTTTTTTTACCATTTTGCCAGTTAGTAGTTTCTTTTCTTTAGGCTTTCTTCAGAAGAGCCATAACAGATAAAAATAAATATGCTTGCCTGAAGGACAGCAACTGTGAAATTACTGCAGAGAAAAGAGGGAATTGTTCAGCATGCAGACTTCAAAAATGCTTCAACCTGGGGATGTCCAAGAGTGGTATGTCTTTTCAAAAAGCACTTTTACATATATACATGTATACAGTATACATGTATACATGAATTCATGAGAGTATGCATTTTCTCATTGTCAAACATTTTTACCATAACCTTCCTTATGACATTTATCTCACACATGTATTTCCTTTTTCCTTTTGCGTGGTTTAATTGCTCTACTTTTCTGGAATTACATATTAAGAAATTACCAGTATATATTTAACCTCTTATGGCATCATACATTTTTGAGAACTGTTTAAACAGGTGTCTAAGTGAAAGCACTTTAATTATGCCAAAATGTAACCTTGCCTTTACTTAGTCCCACTGGAGGCCTTAGTCCTACATTTCCTGATTAAACAAAAAATGTATTTCATATAATAGAAATTTGTGATGTTAGAACTTGTACTGTAAATATCTTTTTTCTTCAAAGCTGTAAGACAAGGGCGCTACACTATTGAACTCAGAACCAACACTATCCTGGAGGTCAAAAGGTTAGCCAATCAAACAGCAGTAGAAGTGTCTGTTGACAACCAGCAAGACAACCAGAAAGATAACCAAAAAGACAATCCTGATGGCCAGACCTCCAGCGACTTCGCCAGAGTTGGTGGGGCCTCGTCAGCATGTGATAGTGATGGGAACCAGACAACAGCTTCAGAGGACCAGTCAGATTTTGTTCCCGAGGAATCAGACACTGTAGAACCCTCAGTCGATCTCTCCTTGCTACCCTGCCAATCTGGGTGTGGCCAAGAATCATCGGACAGTATGTATTCTACATAATCAGAAAGGTTTTATTAGTTTTCAAGAAATTGAGAAATTTCCTCTTGAGTACAGTTTTTCCGTTCTTTATTTAACAATATTTTATTAGTTTTCAAGAAATTGAAACATTTCTTCTTGAGTACCGTTTTTCCGTTCTTTATTTACCAATATATTTTATGTTTTTAAGGTAACTTACCACCCAAAAAGAAAGTTCGACTCAGGGACACTGTGAATCCTTTGGAGAGTTGTGACTGTGTGGTGACCCCCGGGTCTCAGAGTTTGACCCGGGTCAGCTGTGATATGGCTATCGGTGCTGATACCGTGACCCTGTCTGCTGATACCGTGACCCTGTCCGAGAGACAAATTCAGTGCTTAATTCAGACGTTAGTGAAAGCTCATGACACAATCTATCCCAACTTTAAAAACTACTTCGAAAAGGAACACCAAAAGTTCTTGGAAGATAAGTTTATTGTAAGTGACTTGTCAATTCCTGTATTTTTAGAATCATTTGTGTTATGCATGTACAACCAAAATATTAATCAATGTTGCTGAATTTTGTATAGGTGTACATTGTGAGATTAAGAAGCATCCAACCTTGTCTTTTAGAGTATCACCAGGCTTAGTGTATCATTGATCTTAAATATTTTATGATTTCTGACTTTTTTTTTTTTTTACATGTAAGCATATCCTTATATTCAACAGATTAAACCAAAAGATTTCTATTCGTTTTTCACATAGTGAGTAGTCAGTGATCTTGTTGATTGGCAAAAATTATGCAAAGTGAATTAATGAAGCTAAAAGCTAATCAGCTCTTCAATTGTTAAAATATAAGTTCCGTTGCCGTTAAATCAAACTTACCTAATGAGTGCATGTTTTAAGAACAGTAAAATATTTTATAGCGAACTCATAATAAATTGATGCTTATAGCAAATGGGTTTTTATTCCCTTTGACTTCAAAATATTTTGAACGCATGACGGATATAAGGAATTAAGCTTATAACAAAGCGAAATTGCCTGTCCCAAACACTTTGTCATATACATGTTTTATTGTATTCAGGTATTTGTAAAATCTGTTGTAGGCCAATCAGAAGATACAGGAAGATGTCTTTGGAATTAAAAGTCTGCTCGATAAGGATGAATTTGAAAAAGTCTACCGAGCCACAGGTATAGATGTTGATGGCCGACTGGAATTACTGAAAAAAATGTACAGTCACCGCGAGCGATCGCTGATGAAATATTTCACCTTTGCCAAGTGTATCCAGGGTTTTACAGATCTGAGTATGAATGATAAAATCAGCCTAGTTAAATGTAAGTACTTGCTTGTACTTATAAAAAAGTTTGCCCCTTTTTGATTTAGCTTGTCTTTTTAGAAGAACTTAAACTTTACTTATTCAATGTAAAGTGTCTGTGTGTCACCTGTCTAGCTGTCTGTCTGTCCATTTGTGAATACACTGTAGTTCTTTAAAATGCTGATCCTTTAGTTTTGATCCTATTTCAGAGAACTGAATTTCAGTTCTGAATAACAATATTCAGTAGATAATTAAAAAAAACACATGACATATTCAAAATTCTTAATGCCCTAAAGTTTTGGTCTTTTTCAGAACAATCTAGTACAAGAAAATTTTAATTTGATATAAAATTTTGCTTCAAATTTAGAAGACCACAGAAAACATGATTCTGTAAAAATGTAAAACTGAATCGATAACCCTCCCCCATTCTTTACAAGTACATTGTACAAACCAGTAGAGCTACAGTCTTATAGCAGACTTCTGCTTCAGATGGTGAGCATGAATACTGGATCCTGGGACATTTTACTCACTACCACCCAGAGCTCAAGGCATCCATTGGGAATGAAATTCAGATGACATTTGAAAACCATGGCAAGTTATTTGGACAATCTCTTTCAGATGAAATGCTGAAAATGTTCAACACACTGCTAAATATGAACTTCATGTATCAAGAGGTTGTACTGTTGCGAGGAATTGTCCTATTCTCAAGAGGTATATTTTAAGATTTTTACTGATATAGAAAAACAATTGCTGGTCATAATTTAATGTAAAACATGTTTAAGTGCTTTAAGAATTTGCAAGGAATGTAATTGTGTTTATGTTAAATGATTTCTATTTGAAATTGCAAATTTAGTTAGTTAAAATCAATGTTCTCACCATTTAACACCATAGTAGCGGAGGCATTTTTATATTTTCTGTGATACTGTAGAATCATCATTGTTCATTGGGGACTAATTTTCATGGATTTCGTGCAATTCATGAAGGTTTATTTTGTGAGCATATTGATTCATTGAACTATCAAATGTGCAAAATTTAATACCGGTTGCTTTGTAAAAATTTGTTTACCCATTTAATATTCAAATGATTCCACAGTAGGTAGTACATTATTCCCATGGTCTCAAACTGCAATTCATGATTCATTGCTTCCAAATGTGCAAAATGTCTATTTGCTTTGTAGTTAAAAATACTGACTATAAAAGTTCATAATTGTGTTTGCAAAAGATAACAAATTCTTAGAATTTTTATAAAAGGAATGTTTAGCATACATGTATTCTTCAATAGAAAAAAGGAATTTAAAATCCCTTAGTATGTTTTTATATGTGTGGAGTGTGTGATCAGTCGGGTTCGATCGCTGGTGGCCAGATAGCTCAGTCGGTAGAGCACCTGAACAGAGTCAGGGGGCCGTGTTTGAATCCTGGTTTGGTCCGCTGCATTCTTCTCCTCTCCTGTTACATGTGTTTCATTTCAATATATTGTGATTGTAGATCGCAGTGCCTTGGAAGACGCAGATTTAGTTGAATCCGTTCAGTGGCGATTGATCCAGTGTTTAAAGTACCTTGTGGAACTCTTTCATCCAGATGAACCCCGAAAGTTTTCTCAGTGCCTGCAAATTCTTGTGGATTTACGAGACCTGAGTGAACTACGTCAAAAATCCCAGAAAAAGCAGTTAGATGATTATACGCTGAATATTATTAAGGAATATCCTCTGATATATGAGGCACTGGGGGAGTCTATGTCAAAACTGAAGACTCAGTGAAACTGCCATAAACTCAGTGAATACCATTAATTTTTATCATGTGATATTGACCAAAAGAGTAATTACTACATGGGTAGTAATGTAGAGATAAATATGCAGCAGTTTTTGTGATTTTTACTCTGTCATTGAAAATTCTAACCCCAAAAATGCATGTTGAAAAAAGTCAGATCTTAAAAATGGGATTTATACTTGAGAGAATTTTAGAATTTAAACAGTAAAAGCATAATAACAAGTAGTAATTATTGTGAATCTCAATGGGGATTTGAAGAAAGAATTGATTCTTGAGAATTTATTTGGTTGTTAAGATTAGAAAGAAGAAGTGTTCTGTATGTTTTTGGTCTGTCTGTTCAAAACTTTTACCAAGGTCATTAGCTTTGAACTGTGAAATTTTTATGGTAGGTCAAGGTCCTTGCTTTACAATTACATTAGGTGAAGGTCATACATCAAGGTCATGAGAACATTAATTTTGATATTTATGGCTACAAGAATCAGAGTAAGGTTGTTTGTCATATTTATCATTCATCCTACTGGCTTTCTGTCTCATTTTAAACCCTCGCTCCGAAGGAGATGGGCATATACTGTTTCACCCTTGTGTGTCTGTCTGTCTGTGTGTCCGTGTGTCTGTCAGTCTGCTTGTAAAAAATTTTTGGTCTTAGTTTTCTCAGCAACTACTTATTAAAGATACTTGAAATTTTAGCAGATACTTGTTGAGGTATGCTACACTGTATATGGTGGGATTTGCTTTAATATGAATCTGATGTCAACTTCCTTTTTATCTGTGCATCTGCTTGTCACTGAACTTGTATTAACATGATAGTGTATGTTCACATCAGAGTGGGTGTATTACTAGTGAGCATTGGCTCACAGACTTCTTTTAGGATACTTAAGTCACATAGGTCACCTATTGCTGTCTGTTTTTTGTCTGTCACCATGCATGATCACTCTATAGTTTACATTTAATCATCATCAGTTTTATTCTCTAGAACTGCTGAACAAATTTCAACTAAATTTGGCATATACATGTACTACCTATGAGAGAAGGGGAAAAATTGAATTTGCTTTTCATAAATAATTTGTTGAAATGGAGGTTCTCAATCTATATCTTGTCAAGAAGTCCAAATGTTTTGTCATTTAAAAAAAATAAAGAAAAAAAAAAGACATTTAATCCTTGGTATTTTATTTAAAAGAGAAAAATTCTTATATTCACCCAGAAGGTCAGGCAGAATTGAATATAATGTAGTGTCTTTCTACATTATTGGATATCAGCCAGTCAAAAGATAGGAATTAATCATAAAATAATATTTTTCAAAAAGTAAAAATGTTGTATGCATGATGTACTCAAAGTACCACACAAGTAGCTTTAGCAATTAAATCTTGGTTGTCAACATTTGTCACTGAAATCCTTAGCTCATTCACATATTTTGTTTTTCTGTCTAAATCTTCATGCTAATTAAGTGTTTGTTTTACATATAGTATCATAGTGATGCTAACATACTGTATTTTTCAAATTCACATTCCAAATACTGACCAAATGTTATTTGTGTATGAAAGTACATTATTGAACTAAGATGACTAATTTGTATATCAGTCTCCTTTGTGAGAATCGAGTGATTATGCTATTCCAGTTGATTGTTACATAATTATTATGTTATGTTATTCACATGTTTTTAGGGTAAAGAAAAGACATTACGTGGTTGTACAAATGAATCATATAGGAATGATAACTCAGCTGACTCATATTTCCTTTATAAAATTAAATATGACCCAGTACTTGAGTTTTAAGGAAGTTTTTATTAAAACTAGAGGTACTGTGAGCAATGAGCTCACTAAATGATACCCCCCGCCTCCCATAATGTCCATGTTTTGCTATTGTTTTACGGTAATGTGTAAAGAGGAATAACTCGTCCTATCAAATGTTATCCAGAAGCTTCTATACATGACGTCACAGGATATAAATATAGAATATAATGGCAATGTCCATGTTTTGCCATGGGAAACCTAAAATACTGTACGTCTGTCAAATAAAAAAGTAAAATAGGAGGTGCACAATGGCAATATGTAATAAAGATTCTGTGAAAGTTTCATTAAATTTCACTCAGTAGTATAAGAGGAGTTGCGGATAAGAGATGGGTACCCAAAAGCGTAACAGACAGATGGACGGACGGAAATACCGATTACTATATACCCTCCCATTTTTCAAGCGGGGGGTATAATGAAGAAAGTGGTGTGTTGTTGAATCTCTTGAAATTTTTTTAGCTCCCCTGGACCAAAGACTCAAGTGAGTTTTTAGCTCGCCTGGATCAAAGGCTCAAGTGGGTTTTAGCTCACCTGGACCAAAGGCTCAAGTGAGTTTTTAGCTCACCTGGACCAAAGGCTCAAGCAGGGTCTGACAAATCCCATTGCCCGAAGCCCGGGGCTAGTGAATTTTAGAGGCAGGCAAGTGAATTTTTAATAGGCACTTGCCCGTGGGCAGGTGACTTTAAAAAAAAAATCAATCAATAAATATTTTTTAAAATGTCATAGTTTTCCACGAAATTAAAATTATTTTGTTGTAAGAGTTATCTTCCTTTGTTTGTCACACTTTGTATGCGAACCAGTTTAGTTGTGTCATCATTATGCAATTCATTACAAGTTTTACCGAAAGTGTTAAGTACATGTATTTGTACTTAATTGAAAATGACAAATTGGCATGGGAGAAATGGAGAAAGTTTTGACAGTTATGAGGCAGAAAACGATCCAAAGCCAATGATAAGTACATCCTCCATAACAATGTTAGTGAAAAACTCAGTACAAAATTGTCTAAGGATACCAGGTATGAGAAAAGAAAAAAAAAAACAACTGTCCGAAACCATTATTTTAAACAAATAGCAGATGTCATGACTATAGCTGAAATATGATAGCAAATTTAGGTTTATATATGAGTGGAAAATTCTTGAACGGGACGTAAAACAGCATACAATCAATCAACAGATTGTATGGTACGTAGTACTTAAAGGCAGGTATTTTTAAATGTCACAATTATTCAAAACTACAATCCTAAGGCTGCAAAATTTTTCGATTTAGAGACAAATTAATTCATTATGATGAATATAAAGTGCTGGTGGGGCAAGTAAAAATTGAAGTAGGGCAAGTGAAATTTTACCATGCACTTGCCCGTGGGCAAGTGCTTGAAAAATCTATTTGACAGCCCCTGCTCAAGTGAGTTTTTAGCTCACCTGGACCAAAGGCTCAAGTGAGTTTTTAGCTCACATGGACCAAAGGCTCTAGTGAGTTTTTAGCTCATCTGGACCAAAGGCTCAAGTGAGATTTTAGCTCACATGGACCAAAGACTCAAGTGAGTTTTTAACTCACATGGACCAAAGGCTCAAGTGAGTTTTTAGCTCACATGGACCAAAGGCTCAAGTGAGTTTTTAAGATCATGTTTTGTCCAACATCCATCTGTAAACTTGTCCCTTTTCAATTTTTCTCAAGAACCACTGGACCAATTGCAATCAAACTAACCAAAAACTTAGAAGTATTTTGGGGTGAAGGGCTTCAGTATTTTTCTTCTTCAAATTATGGGTCAGACTCACCCTTGAAAGAGAGTATGACTCTTCATTTAATTTACATGGAAATATTTTGAAGGAACCAGTGACTAGCCTGCATATGTTGGGACCACTTATATTAATTAAACCATTGAATAGAATTTTTTATCCAGAGTGCTCAGATGAGTGATGTGCATCTTGTTTAAAGGTAATCAGGATCAAGTTGAAATTATTGGTTATAATTATTTAAGGAATCACTGTCTAGTTAGTAGAGTATGCCAGGGCATCAACAATAGTTGCAAACATGGGATAATTTGCAAAACAGGTGAATTATCCCATGTTTCCAACTATTGTTGATCACCCTGGCATACTCTTCTAAATAGACAGCGATTTCCAATATTTCTATTTCATTGTGAAATCAAAGCCCCCTATATCAATTTCATTAGTCCCCACCCACTGACCTCAAACACAAAGACAGCCACAGGATATTTACATGCATATTAAGCCTCAGCTCCTGACCTATCGCTTTGTGATATTTACATTCCAGTAGAATTATCAAGAAATCAACTCAACTTACTTTCAAGGAGTTAACACAGAGAAAACAAATAGAGATGGAAATTTATGATTAGGACTATAAGTTCCTTGCTGACTTAGTGAATTTTTTAGTCAATGAAGTCAGCATACATCAAGGATTTATCCATATATCAATGCAATCTATAATTTCAACACAATTGTTTTTTCAAAAGTTTTCCTCTATGCTGTAGAGTATACAATTCAGAGAAAGCTGAATGAAGATATCGATACATATACAATATACATAACTTGTACTGATCACAGATAAAGTGGTCCAAATTAAGATTATAAATTATACAAGTGATATTTTTTTCATCTGTATAGGTAAAAAATATCTTGATATGATGATATCAGGACTGGTATTTATCTTGAAGCAATTTCAGCTATCCTGGTATCATGCTTAAAGCCCGAGATAATAAGTACCGCCTTCAGTTTTTCCTGGTCTGGATTCCCCCGTCAATCAAATGAATTAAGGTCCATCATTGGGTACTTGAAAATGATTGACATTTAGCTGCTAGTCCCTGTGTATATCTTTTTCACCTTGTTTGACACGCGTGGCCACCATCAAATTAACTTTCGGTCTTTTGATGTTTACCGCTAAATTGTCATCCCAATGAGGCGTCATTTCGATGCAAATAATTTTAGCTTGATTATAATTGATTATAATTATCTGTATTACAAACACTGAAAAATGAAAATGTTCTCAAAGTGTTCCTATAAAATAAATCAAGATCGTGTAATTTTTTTTTAATGAAAAGTGCATAGGTGGCTGTAATTTTGTTTTTACTCGTAAAAAGATTCTTGGTTTGAGACGCAGCGAAAAAATTGCGATGAAAATAAAGGAAAAAATAACCTGGTAACATTTTTTGCTTGAAATGGATTGTAAGGTTGAAAACAAAATGTCTGATTAGTAACAACTTCGCCTGGACAAGTATATTACATCCAGTATTTAGAGTTTCTTTTCCTTTTCCCTTTTTATAACCGAGCATTTGTTGTAAGTTTTTGAATTATAATCTGAATTTACTTATCGATAAAATACACACATTTGTATGTAATTCTAACTTAACGAAACAGTCGTTATGGCGAATTTTTCACAAGATACAGAATGTACATTTGCTAAAAATAGGACCACGCGACTTTTTATACAAACGGGAAGTAACTGTTTCTATTTGACCGTGATTGAAGATCTAATTGCTACGATATTTACGATAATTATGAATAGTTTTTTAAGATTTTGAAAGGGACAGGCAAGGATGAGTGTTTTACTGTTGAATTTATACCTGTATTTCATTATATTTCTTTTAATAACGAACTCAAGTCATTGCTGCTGTGACAAACAATATGAGGTACATACCGTAGATTTTCTTTCTTTTTTTTCTTTTCTTTTTTTTTTTTTTCTTTTTTTTTTTTTTACAAAAGTCGACAGGTGAGATTTCTGCTTGTTTTAATATTTATTATGTCAGAAATTATGGAATTTTACAATGATCATTTATTATTACTAATGATATTTTTTATTCACGATGTCGAGATCTACTAATTTTACATGTATGATGAACAGTAGCCCAGCAAGCTGTACAGGTAATACTCATTGACTTCCTGTGTGTACTGTTTGTGTATAGGGATTAGCGCTTCCCACGGTCTGCACGACCATCAATGCCTCGGGGTACCACGCTTGTAAAATTTAGTCCCTCCCATTACCTGAGAAAACCGTACGGTTAAAAATCTCGGCCTTTAATGGTTGATATATGTAATAGCCAGTTAATATCATAACACTATATACATGTATAAATAAACTTGTCTGAAAGAGCATATATTGAAAAGAAGTCAAACTCACTTTACAAACTTTTATTTATGCAAACAAAATTTGATACCTATGCCTTCTGGTGCATGAGGTTAAAAAAGAAACAACATGTCAACAAATAATGTATATATTTATGTACAAAAATGATTCTTAGTATATTAATATTAAAATGTATAATAGAAAAAAATGTATAACAATTCAACAATATTTACTAAGTAAATGCCCCAAATTGCTCGTTTTTTTTTATATATCTTAGAAATGTTAGTACTTAAAGATGCAAAATCATTAAAGAAATGGCACATAAATAGAATTCTTCAACAATTAATAAATAATATATTTTGAGAACAATTAGATATTTGTTGTTCAAAATGGCAGCTTAATTAAGTAATTTATGCAAATTGCACAAATGCCATTTATTACATCTTAGACACTAGATATTGTGTACAGGTTGGGATTTTGTCCCTGGGTAAGTGGGTATACCCTTATTTTCTTAAGAATGTTTTCAAAAAATTATAAGATTGAAATTCAGTGGATTTGTTATATAAAGCTAAATACAGTATAAAATCAGGATAATCAAACAATTTTCCAATTACAGTCAAACCTTGTTATTTCAAACAATACAAAGATAAAATTTCTAGATATCCAAGGATTCCAGATAACAAGGTTTATATACAGAAAAAGGATTTGGGACTGCTATTAACTCATTTCAGCATATCCCAGGTATTTGAGATATTGAAGCTGAATTGTACTAGTCTAAAACAAACAATCCCTGATAAAACTGATGCCGAATTTGGCTTAATTCAGTTTCAAGTGTGATACACTGAGAAATTAAATACTGGGTAACCGATTACCAAAGACATATTTGATACTGTTGAAAATGAGGTGTACGTTCAAAAGGTTTTTAGGATAGAGTTTATCAGCAACAAAAACAAACAAAGATAGATTTAAAAATAATAAAACATATAACACATAACAAATTTTATGGAAGAGATAAATTGCAATGATTATTAATTTTCTTTATATATATGGCTGATTCAGCTTACAATTAATCACTAGAATTCATATAAAAACCCACCAAGGAGTTTTCTTATTCATTCCAATACATTGTAGAATATACTTTCTAATTCATTTATAATCAATAAGCAGGAAAGGTTAAAGAAAAAACAAAACATACATTTGTTATCTATATACCACAACAAATCATAACTCTCAACAGCATAAAGCAATCCAACTCAAAATCTGTGTACGATAACTCAAACTTTAAAATGCAAAAACCTATTTACTTTTAAGACCTAATATTACATATCTACTTAACTATATGTTCAACACTTTTAATCTATACTTTGAAATATATATTGTAAACATACTTATTTGATTGCAAATGAAAGTTGAATACATCTTTCAACAAAAACCTAAAAATCCAATTATATACCTTTGAGTTCTTTCAAACAAGGGCACATGTATAAGATAGTCAGATACATGTATAATCATGTTTATGGTGTAATTTTAGTGCCCAAAAAATGCAAAATAAGATCATTGCAAAAAATAAGTATGCCTACAGTATTTCTACAACTTGAATATACTGATGTCAACTATACACTAAAGAGAATCTGCACACACAAATCACTCCAAGTCCATATTCCTAAATTGCATCAGTTATCTTTTACTTTGTAACATTGATCAGAATTTTTAGTTACAAATCTACCTACTCTCTCCACAATAAAGAAAATATCCTAAATTGTTACGTGAACAAATTATTTATGAAATTTACGAAAAACAACTGATTTTTAAATATGAAAAAAGTGATGGACAACTCCACCAACTTTACAATGTTATAAATACTAAGAAATACTGTACATTCTCAGTGTACTAAAGAAAACTTTTCTATGTAGTACAAGTCTCCTTAATGAACTCGAGTTGAGCCTTGTGATTTTCTTCGTCTCTCTGGGTTTCTCTTGCATCATGGGAAATACACTCGTACACAAGAGGATACCGCTTCATGATAGACAGATGCAGACTCTCCATTCTACCATTCACTTTGCGGTTGATTTCAGTCAGTTGTCTCATGGTGATCAGTTTGTCCATGTAAGAGGAGAAGCGATGGGGCTCCCCTTTGTGGAATTTGTTTATTAAGTATTTCAGACACTGTACTAACTTCCACTGGATTGCTTCTACTTTTTCTGGACACTGTAAAGGTTCTCTGTCTGCAAATCAGAAACAATATTCAAGTTAACTACCTTTACACATCCTTATAAACATTAAATTCACTTAGATGTGAAAAAAATCTGAAACAAAATTAAAGTTACCTCCCTTTACCTATCTTGAATCTTATTCACATTTATATATGTACAAAAAACTTTGTATTTTTTAACTTAACAATCAGTTTTTATGCTTGATACATGTTTTGATAAGTAGGAATATCTCGGGAGTTTTATTAAAACAGTATGTACATTATAGCAGATTTTTTGTTTTACCTCTGAAAGTGATAATAATGGCTTTGAGGACTGCTACTTCTTCATAAGTTAACTTGAGCTTTTGTAAGGATGCAGCAAACTCAATACATTGGTCTACAGCTTCCGGTTCTCCAAAGATCATGATGATGTCATCTCTGGTGAGCTGAGCCTTGGTGTCTGGGTAATAAATGACCTTCATCTCGGTGTTGATGTGTAAATGTTCACCCATTAACCAGTACTCAAAACGGGAAGCTGAAATGAGAAGAAGGATCTATTTTAAATATTTCTCAAGAACTAGAAATTCTTCTGGTTTTCTGGTAATGTCAACATATTTTGACTAATCCTGTTAAATTTTCTCTTGCATGAATATTTTTGAAATACATTACAGAAGGAAAATAATTAGCAGTCTCGGAGAATATTTTCTCTCCAAATAAAGCTAATTTACTGTGATTGAAACTGTGATAATTTAGACATTATACATGTGAAGTTATTTTATACAAGTTGAATACATACAATTGCAATTAGGTATACATTCTACAGCAAAAACAAATTACTGGTAAATGATACATCTGCCAGTTACTTGTTGCTCTGATCACCCACCTTTTATGAGAGCTAATTTGTCATCAGTAGGAAGATCCTCGAATCCAGGAATGATTCTGGCAAACGAGATATACTTGATGATGCCTTGCTGGATTTGTTCAATGGCCTTTTTGAGCATCTCCATGCGACCGTCCACATCAATGCCTGTAGCCAGGTAAAAACTGTTAAATTCGTCAGGAGACAGTAATTTCTTCAAGCCAAAGAACTCATTCTTCATATTGTACTTCTCCTGAAAAGAGAAAAATTTTAATAATTTTCACATTCATTGAATGGGTTTAATTTTCTTTACTTTGAAATTTAAATCACATTTTTGAAAATATATTTCTTGGAAGAACAACTTACAGAATATTCATTATGGAGCTTTTTAATGTAATCTTTGTCAAAGGAGTTGATGTACTCCGGATATATTTGATCCTGACTCCAGACAAGAGTCCATATCATCTGCTCCATTTCATCCACGGACATTTCAAACTCCGACTGACTGGATCTTTGTTTTTTCACTATGGGAACAGTGACTTCCTCTGTCGCTGTGAAGAAATCGGGATCTATGGTGGAGAGCCATGGATCGTCATCTAGTCTGGATTCCTGTAGAGTGGAACGTCGCTTCTCTGCTATCCTGGCACTTCTTCTTGTAGGTGATGAAGCTAAGACAAGAAATTAGTATACCTTAATCATTTTCTAAACGCTTAAGTATTAAACTATTAATGCATTTATTTTCTTACGTAGTATATACAGTCAAACATTGCTAGCTTGAACTTGATGGGAATGATAGAAAACTTCAGGATGTCCAGGGAATTGAGACATTGGGAGAATATGTCGGTTTAGACTTCCAAATCACTTTGACATATCCAATGTAATTGAGATATCAGTGTTTGATATACTGAAGTTCATTTGAAAATTCAGAATTTTTACCTGGATTGTCTAGTGACTCTTTTTTGTCTTCCACCTCAGGACAAACATCTGGAAGGCACACATTCAGGTCTTCCAAAATGTCAAATGAATTTGCTTCTGGCTGATCTAATAAGGAATCGGCAAAATCTTCCAGTTTTATCGGATTCTGCTGTGACTCAGTTTGTGTATAGGATGTTGATAAATCTTCAAATAATGATGTCATGTCGGAATCTGCCAGACAGTCCATTTGTAACTGAGGGGGTGACAGGGTCATGAAGTCTGCAGGAGATGTGATGAAATCTGTTGTGGTGTCTGATGACTGTGATGAAATACTCTGAATGGATCCTCTGTGAGATGTTGCCGTGGACACGACAGAGCTGTCCGACCCTTGATTGAGGGAGTCAGCTGTCTCTATGGAGATGAGATTGTCTAGTTTTGGGATAGAAGGTTCATTTGTGTAAGGGATTTCTAACTGGGGTGTGCCCAGACCAGTTATGTGGTTTATGGTCTCAGCTTTTTGTTTTAGTTGCTTCACTTCCAGGATAGTTTTGGTTCGAATAGCAACAGTGTAACGTCCATGTCTCATAGCTATAGAAAGCAAAGTTATATTGTTTACATGACATTTTAATATGCATTTTAAGTTATTGAATCATTCATTCATTCACCCAAAACATGTAAAAATTAATTTTCATTATTTTTAGGGGGAAGGGAGGGGGCACAACCAAATATTTTCAGTTTTTGGAAGGATGGGTCAATCTCAAGCAAAATTAAAGTTCCTTGGCAAATAAAAAAGGGTCATCATTGTAATCATTAGGGGGCACAATCATAAAGTAGCAATTTTTTCTTTAAAACTCTATATAAGCAAATTTATATTGGGTACATCTGCACTTAGCCCGGTTCCTGAGACCATGATGCATATGACCACACACAAAGTACTTCCCTTGACACTAATCAAAAGTCATTGTCTTCTTCTCTTATAAATACATGTGTCTAACTTGTTCAAAGTACATTATGTATATATGAATAACCTTGTCATGATTCATATTTGAATTTTGTGCAATCTTTTAAATCTTATCCAATGCCAAATGGCTAAAAAGAAAAGAGGATAAAAATTAAAGTTACATAATTGTTCAATTACATTCTTGAAGTATTTTAAAAACTTATATTTACTGGGTGATAATTTTATGCAATCATGTGTTTTAACCCCCCTCTCCTAAAAGAAAATAAAACCCCTCTCCCCCCCTTCCCCTGAAATAAAATTTATTTTAATCATACTGGATTGCAAAATTTCTATAAATATACAAACCATCTCGTGACATTCCCAGATTGAGACATTTCTGAAGCCGGCAGTACGAGCAATTTCCTCTCTTCCTGTTGATAATTTTACAGTCCTTATCCTTTGCACATTGATATTTATCCTTCTCCATAACAGCTCGGCGAAAAAACGCCTGAAGTAGATAACAAAATTGAAACAATTTGTGATTAATTACTTTTTGTTGTTTGAATCTTTCCCATTTAAAGCCTGAAAATTGTGATGCAGACAAATATATTTTTAAAATGCTTTCTTGATAATGATATTGTCTAATCTTTAATAAAGCATATATTGTATGTGTGCAAGTCTGAATAAGTTTCAAAAGTTTGAACATTTTATTTTACTGGGTGAATTAGAATTCCTCTTCACATTTTCGGTCACTCCATTTTCCGAGATAGCTCAAAAAAAATTCCTATAACTACAGTGCATAACTAACCTTTAAAATTGATTTTTTTTTTTACTTTGAAAACATCACAGCAAACAGTCAGAGATAATTTACCCATAAGCCCCCAGTGTTTAGCTATTAAGGTAAATGTGGATACTCAAATGAACTCTGACCTTGCAGGCTTCGCAGGTGTTGAGTCCATAATGAATCCCTGAGGCTTCGCCATCGCAGATCTTGCAGGGAGGTAACTCCAGGGGCTTGTACATTTTGTTGGATTCTGAAAGAAAATTCACAGAATTTAGATCCTTTTTGTCACCTAGACAATTATACCCCTCATTTTAGCAATATGCTCCAGTTTATCATTAAAAGAATTAAAATATTGGCTTGAATTGTGCAATCCTCTTCAGGTATTTGTCAGTTGAAGTAAAGTTTTTATTCAAGTAACTTATATGTAGTTTTCAGAATTAATAGTTACTTACAACTCTATTCATGCAGTTTTGAAACACAATTGTAAAGCAATTGAAATTGTAAATGAATAGCAAATTGTGCAGATTTTTACTATGCAAAGGGCAGATAATTAATGTACAGTGTACCTAAGCCTATTTGTAATGCTAATAATTTCCCTAAAAAAATCACGTCTAATAAAAAAATATCCTTTCTGTCATTTAACCACAAACAAAACCTAGGAGAACATATGATAAATTACTGGTAAGAAAATATATCCATTTAATGGTAATTGATTTATGATTACACAAAAACAATCGTTCATTTGCCACAAAGTTTTCCGTAACACAAAAAAAAAATCAGATATACTTTAAAGCTCCGAACATTACTTTGGTTTATATAACTGATTTATCAGAAGGAAGGCACACATTTAAGCACGTGTATATTCTGTAAACACACTGTTAGTGGATGCATAACTCAGTACCTATGCACTGAAACTTTGCCTGGTTCAGTATAACCTGATTTTCTGTGTCAAGTGTATTATAGCATACTGAGCATACACCCAGTGTACGATTACTATCAAGTTTATACTTACTATTAATACCCCATCATCAATCACACTGACTGCAGTGTTTATAGGCCCGTAATTAAGTTATAGAATTTAAAAACCGTTTTTTGTTGAAGTTCAGACAACTGTAATTTTTCAGTTCTGACTGGGGCATCAATTGTTTTATTTTTTCAAACAAAGAAAAATGATATTTTTGTACATTTTAAAATTATATATCAGCTGGTACATTTAAAATGTCGTACGTGCACTTTCATCCTGCTGACTTGAAAAAAAAAATTCAGGAAAAAAAAAATCTGACGAAATCCCACATTTTTGGATATACTAAGAAAGGATTTTTTTCTCAGTCATTTAAGGAGTGATGCATACATTATCCCAGATTTCATTTGATTTTTCATCACATCTATCTTTAGCTGCTAGTAGAATTTCTGGTGACAGTTGAAGCATAACAAATAATGGTAATTAATGGGGAGGTGAACCACCTACTTCCATAGGCACCTGGCACTTTATAAGGAAAATTTCATTTATGTAATTCGATGATGGCGTCATGGTCTATAAACTTGCCTTACGACGTGACATATATATTTCACACGTTTGTTGTCACACGTACATTTACATTGCCCTGAAGTGGACTTTAACTATTCAAGTTTTTTATTCAAAGTATATATTTCCAATAATGCTTAGCACGTACAGTAATGATTTTTCTTTAAGAGCTATAACTCAACAGTGTATACACACAGTAAATGGTTGGTCTTTTCAAGTTAATGTAAATATTGTACAAATACCCTCACCCTATTTACGTTATTTGGAGTGGACAGTAGCAAGAATTACCCAAATAAAATTTCTCCTCAAGAGAAAATTAAAGGAAAAGGCTTTTTATTTCATTTCATTTACTCAAGCTAAAATTTATCAATGTCTGAATGTATTTTGTTTTCAACTTAAAAAAGCATATGTCAATACGTGTATTAATTTTTAACATATATTTAATAAGCCTAAAACCCGCTGACAGGGGATTCTGAATATGTAACCATGCATGTAGGTCAGTAATAATACAAACTTCACCTGACCTTCAACATGTTCAATCAGACATGATCAGAATACAGAGTATCTGTATCCGACTAATTCAGCATGCACTCTTTATTCCTACAAAATGTCTATATTGCAAGTCTACTACATGAACAAGTATAACTCATTTTTTTAAACACATTTTGTATTTTCCAGATGTTATTTCAAAATTTCCAAGTTTAATTAAAACTGTACTTTAATTTTGTCCCCTAATATAATCATGCACCAATTGAAATTTTGTAAAATTATACTTATTAGTAAATTTTCAATGTGAAATTTGCATGTTTTTCAGTGTATTTTTTTTTTTTGTAGATATACATTGCCCATTCTGACTTACAAGGTGTGAATTGTTAATCCATAACCCATATATTAAAAGTATCATATTTTGAACAATATATAAAAAGGCCTTGACCTAGAGTAATACATATACTGACCTTCCTCTTATTGCGAACAATCATTTTATCATTGTATTAGCGTTTATTACAAAAATCAATGAACAAGGAGGAGCAAAACTACTTTTCATCACAAACTTTCTCCGGGCTTTCTGTCTATTTCACTATAAAGGATTATACTGATAACAAAACGCTGCGTCACAGGATGAGCTAGAGCCCTGATAAAACAAGTAGTGACAATAACATTCATACACTTAACGAGGAAAAACTGGGTTAAACCTTTTGATAAGTAGAGGTCTACAAAGAGAACGATATGTCTTTTATTTATTTATTTTTACTTACATGTCGCTATTTTATTTATCATGTTTTATTGCATAAAAAATCCAAAGTTTGACAAATTAATTAAGTCAGACAATGACTTATGACTATTTTGTGTATTATGCATGTGTGTCATTTAAAATAAAAATAAAAAATTTGCCGAAATTAGTCCGTTTTAAAAACGTCATATTTACTGTATATACTCTTTTTATATACATTTGTACAGTAAAAACATTTACAAAATTTTATAAATTTAGACACACACAGAAAAACACATTTACAAATTTTCATACTCAGTTAATTACTCATGTATATTGAAATGTCTTATCAAAATTTCATAAACTTATTTTCATCATTTCATCATATCTCTCTCTCTCTCTCTCTGAGTTAAACTCATTACAGTATTCAAAGTAAAAATTAAGTACAGTGCTTGCATTCAGCAACAAAATGATATATTGGACCACATCCATGTACTTTGCCTTATGATAAAGCGGATGCTTTGAGGTTGATGAAGTGAGGGACATCTGACAATGGCAATTAACCTGCCCAGCTACTAATGCTTACTCTCCGCACAAACTACCTCATACCTGGCCTGAAAACATATACCCCTTGCTTCTTTCCTTTAAAGGGGTTTTATTAAACCATGCAATGTCTATCTCTTCCTTGGAATTTTCCAGCACTAACAACAGTAAAAAACTCCAAAAAAAGTACAAAAGGCCCAGAGGACATAATGCTCACCTGGGTAACTATGATTCCCTTTGTTCTTCATCAGATTTTTTCCCCTGCATGTTCCTATAAAAAAGCTAATATATTGTGGCCCCTCCTAACCCAAAACCTACTCTGTAAAACTTTGGTCACCCATTTTGTCCTACCTCTGGGGGTAAAGATTTTAACAAAAAAATGAATCACACTACAGGATGATGCTTTCATATTAATATGATTAGATTTTGTTGTTCTTTAGAAGATTTTTCTTGCATCATATGTATTTCTATGTAAAACTTTGATTATGTCCATAGTAGCCCAACCCTACCCCTGGAGGTCAAGTTTGAACAAACTTGAAACCACACTACCCTGGAAAGCTTTCATTTAAGTTTTTTTCTGGCTTGTGGTTCTTAAGAAGAAGATTTTTAAATTATTCTACCAAAGTTTACTATTTCTTAATTAACTCCCCTTGAACAAAAAAGTGTTCCCCATCATTTGAACAAACCTAAATCCCCTTTACCCAAGAATACTCTGTGTTAAGTTTGAATGAAATTCTCCTTGTGGTTTTGAAGAAAATGAAGATGTGAAAAGTTGGCAGCAATAAATGACAACAATGCTAAAAATGGGACAAACAATTAATGGACAATTTTGATCAAAAAAGCTCACTTGAGCCTTACACAGTTAACCCAATTTAAGCTCAGGTGAGCTAAAAACTTGGACATCTCTATTCAAAATGAACAAAATGCACAGTAAATGAATAATTGTGCCAATAATGCATTTCTCAGTACAGAAATTGTCTCTGTAGGGATGCATTGCTTTTATCAGTATACTGAAGTTTAACACTAACATATTTGCCCAAATACTGTGTATTTTGCTGTACTTTGTCCACGATCTCACATGCAGTGTCTTGAGACAACCTGAGCAAACACTCGCATATTTATAAAGCATAATAGTATAACAGTACTATATTGTATACAGCTTTTGTACCAGCTTTTGTCACATTATACTATAAAACTAAATATTTACTCCATGTATCCATATCAGTCATCATATTTCTAATACTCCGCATAGTTCACTCTTTTGGACAATCAATGTTGCCCTCAACCCAAATCAAATAATATCACATGAATATATGTATAAATTATAGTTACCGTATAGAACTAATAAAAGTATGCATACAGCCATACATTGTATTAACTACAGAGTATCTACAATAACATGTAATGTAGAGTGATACACTGTGATAAGCAGGGTACCTAAGAAAATGAGATATTTACTAAAAAAGAAAATGACAACTCAAAAGTTTTGATTCGAATAAAAGATACATTCATTTCTTAAAAGTTAAAGTGAAAATTTTACCTGCTAAATCGTGCTTTTCTTGATTTATTCTGTAGAATTGTAAATCCTATCTCACACGACTCAGCTATTTGAAACACATGCGCATTGACAGCCGGTTAACCAAAGTGCTCTTGAGGTACCAAAAGGGGAGTCAAATTCTTTTTTTTCCAATTTTTGAATCAGTTTAAATATACCCCTAATTTTAAAACAAATATTGTTTATTCAGTTATATATTTTATATCTGCAGATTTTTAATATTTCAGAGTTTTTGCTGAAATCGGTCATGGACATGATGGGTATTTCATAATACTCGTGACGTCAGTGACCCAGTTTATTTGCAAACTCATTGTTCAGATGTAAACAAATTATGAATATTCATGAAGGAAAAGAGCGGCACATTTAAAAGTTGGCATATATATATATATATATATGTTTATTCACCAATCAAGGGCCCACAGGGGGCATGAACAATTATTACAAAATGATAACATTGATTACAATTCTATATTAAGGATAATGTAACATGACTTGTGATTAAGTTTGAAATTGAGAAGTGCATCACCACACTGGATCAAAAGCATAGAAACCATAGAATGATAAAAGAAAACACAATTAAATAAAAATGATAGATATAAGGTAAATTAAAAAAAAAAAAAATCTTGTAGTAATGGCAGTACTCTAATATAAAACTAGTGCATCTTGAATACAAAGGGCACCAGGGGATGATACCTCTACACAGCCAGTCTGGCAAACCTGTACCCTAAGTATTGAAGATGGTCATTCAAAAAAAAAATCATTTAAGTATTAACAGAAATAGTAATTTCAATTAATAAGTACTTAGCATATAATTAGAAACTTAATGCAAACTAATCTCTTGGAGTTAGTTCAATAGATATTTGACATATGCATACCCACATACACAAACACACACTTACTGTTACACAAATCCATGCATACAAAAATAATAATTTATATACAAATATATGTATGTATAGTATATATTATAAACATACACTTATTGTTACACATATCCATGCATAGAAAAATAATAATTTACACACAAATATATGTATATATATATAAACAAATGGTACTATCCTGTATAAATGTAAATCTGTGATCTTGAAGGTAGCATACAATTAATGTAAAGAAAAGGTAACTTGGATACAGAGGGTACCAGGGGACGATGCCTCTGCACAGCCGATTATACTGGCAAACCCGTACTCTAAGTATTCAAGACACCCATTCTGACTGATTCTGTACATTTAAGAAGGGAATGAGGGGACACATTAAATTTCATATATATAAATGGAAGGGGTGGGTTGATGGGTTTGTCATGATTTGATGTCCACCAATGATGTATTTTTTTGTATTGCCTTACTAGAATACACTGATTTTATTAAAATAAAAAATAAAAAATGAAATTGTGTCTTAATTAATTTAAATATACAGAAATGTGATATATTTTCTTTTGAAACGCTAATTTTAGCGATTTTTTAATGAATCTATGTAGTAAAATACTTTTCTGTCAAAACAGTGGCGGATTTAAGGGGGGCGTACCCGGCGCCCCCCCCCCCTAAAATTGTCAACACGTAATTAAATCACATGCAGTTTCGTCTAGAAAATGTAAATATGTATACTTGGTAGACCTAATTTTTACCCTACAAAATCTCTGGAATCCAGGAGCTTCCGGGGACTTCGTCCCCTGGGCCCCCACCAGGGCTTTGCCCTGGACCCACTGGGGGCCTCAAGGCGGCCCCCAGACCCCTTGCCTACATTTGGCGCCCCCTCTAACTTCAATTTCTGGATCCGCGCCTGCAAAATACACCATCTTGAAACCAAGAGCCTATGATGTAACATGTAAAAATGTAGGGGGATAGGGAATGAGGTTTCCATAAAACCTTGAATTCAAAATCTTTATATTTCACATGAGTGTATGCATGGTGGCAGGCTTGGGGTCAATTACTTTGAAATGTAATTAATTACTTTCAAATACATTGATAATTTTGTCAATTACTTGCAATTACAATTACATTGATTTTTTCAAATGTAATTAATTACTTTCAATTACTTTGACAAATGTAATTAAATACATTTCAATTACTTCGAGTTTTATTTTTATAAAAAAAAAATAAAGATTTTTTTAAGTAAGATTTTTTCTATAGCGATCGAATTCGAACTTTCATTCAGTGTTTTTGTTCTTGGGTATGATAGGGGTTCACACCTGGTCAAAATTAGACCTTTACCTTATAATGAGTGTGACACACTGTATAAACAAATAAAACATTATGAGACAATTAATTATTGTACAAACACAAGCCCATGCTACACCAGTATGGTGTATGGCAAGATCTTTTTTGTTACTTTCTCAAATCCATATTTTTGAAGGAAATAAATAATATCTATCACAATTCCATTCATTATTTATATCTATCTTAAAATGAATAGAATACAGGTAAATCTAAAAGGGGATGTAGTTAGTCTAATTGCTGTAAAACAAATTAACTATCACTAAACAATCATCGTTATTTGGAAGTGGGAATAGGGAGAACTGAGATTTAAAAAACATGGGAATAAGTAATATAAACCCACCAGTATAAAACTATGTATCAGTATAAGAGACCTTTTTAAATATAAACTTTCATTTTGAAAAAAAGTAATTGAAATGTAATTGAAAAGTAATTGAAAATACATGACCTTTTTCGAAATGTATTTAAATACATTCAATTACTTGTAATTGAAGGCTCGCTCAAATACAAATTACTTCCAATTACTTTGAAAAATGTAATTAATTACACTCAATTACAATTACTTTATTCAATTACCCCATCCCTGCATGGTGGTGGTGATTCTAAAAGGGGGGGGGGGGCTAATATAATCAATCGACTCTTCGTATTATTTTACTAGGTACATATGTACGTGTCCATGTGAAGAGGGGTCAAGGCTAGGTAATCTTTCGGCTTTGCTTTTGCTCGGATGGGTCATATTTTGACTTACATATGTTTAGAACAATATTGTGTTAAATTTGTTTAATCATTGATTTCACAAGGGATGCTTACTCATCGGCACCTGATCCCACCTGTGATGGTTCAGGCCAGACGAGGGTGCGTGTCTTTGCATTCTGTTCACTTCTGGTTTAATGAGACTAGTAATTAACTGTAATTAAATGTTACCTTTAGTTTACATTTACGTATACTGTCAAAATTTGAACAAATGCGGGTCAGGACTACGTTCCGACACCCCACCCCCACCCCACACACACTCCTGTAAGATCTGCACAAGTAATAAATTCAATATAAAGATAATAATATTGCAGAGAAAAGTGTTGATGATAAATAATTTTTTGGCAAGAAATGGATTTTGTCGAATCCTCGACCCCCCAAAAAATCAATTCTTGGAGGGTTACTTTTATTTTTTTTATGATCCCTAAAATATGGGTGCACATGACACCCGTATTATATAATAAGATGTCCATGCATGGGCCACATCGCTCATCTGGATCACGTTGGGCTTGCTGTATTTCATACTTCATCAGTAGTTTAAACTAGTTTTCCTCCATAAAAAAAGAACACATAAATGTATACCTCTGTAAAACTTCACCATTTGTGACTTAAACCTACACACAGGAGCCTTAAATCTTTTTTTTTTTTTTTTTTTTAAAGAAGAATCTTCACTTCATTTAAATATGAGAAATCATGGACATGTATGACTTGTAACATGTATGGCTTATCGATTGCTTTGTTGATTTGTTAAGATTTTCATTCCTAATTATATTATTTCCATTATAAAACTTTGTTCGTCAAAGTTTTCCCACATTAAACGAGAGAGAGAGTGATAGAGAGAAGGGGGGTAAGATCGATGCGAATAAACTTAATTAAGAGTACACTATCTTAGATTGCTTCCCCACTTTGTGTCCAAAATATACGTAAGATTTAATAAAATCATTTTTTGGGGGGTGTGTGGCCGTGGGCCCCTACCCAAACCCAAAACTGCCCCCTTTCAAAATTCCTGAATCCGCCACTGGCTTTCTTATTCATATTCACTGATCACGGCTTTACAGATCTTGTCAAACTGGATTTTAAACTTGCATCTTAAGACATATTCTACAATACGTGTATATGATACAAAAACAAACGAAAATTTTTATCAAAAAGCATAATTTTAATATAACAACCAAATTAAAGTCATGTTTATTTAAGTAAAAGTTAATAAGTTTAACAGTATATATTTGAATTTTTCGTTCAAACTTTCAAAGTTTTGTAAAAAGTAAGAACTGTATACAGGTAGATTAAATTAATAATTAAAGGTATTCAAATGAACTTAAAGATAATAATTTTCGCATCCTTTACAACCAACACATATCAAAAAATAGAAACCAATCCCATGCGCTTCCATTTTTTATATACACCTTAATCATAGTCTTGATATTTTCATTGTAAAAACTGATGGTGTGGGTACAGGTCATAAACGAGAACAAAATTCCAGACTACAGCCTTGACCTTCCTCAAATCAATATACTTTAAGGGGATCAGCATGGGATCCTTTACCTGCACCAAAGTGCACGTGATTTTGAGTAATATTCTAATTTTAAATTTGCTTGCGTAAGATTTCATTCATAAATGTGCAAAATAATTTCCGGAGAAAAATCGGACAGTTGTAGTACAATCCTTGTGTTTGCAAATCTCTTTTGGTGTCTGAAAGAGACATTCGGGCATGAAAACGACATTTAAATAATTTGTTTCCTATTCAATATCGAAATTAATGTACATAAAACATTTTTTCTATTAAATCATACAGACAGACATTTAATATGTGCATGTATCGTTTTGAAAATGAAATTGATGTTTGCATATTTTTTCCTGAACTTTTATTATGGATTTCATCGTGGGTATCATAATCGTATATATGTCTTTTTTATTTTAATTCGAAATGGGGGAGGGGGTGTCAAAAAAGGATGCAGGATTTCGCGGGAGAGGTTGCAAGAGTAAAAAAAAATTGTTATTGCAAAAGAAAAACAATAAATAAATGAATACAAAATAATGGGGGTGGGTGGGTTAGAT